ACGATCTGGAACTCCGCGAACGCCAGTCCCGCGCCTATGACCTCAGCATTGCTGCGCTTGTTTCGGACTCGATCTACAACTTCGGAGAGCTGCTACTACATCCCATCCTCGACTCGCTAGTCGACACCTCACACGCTTGGTTGCGCGACCTCCTCTTCGCCTTCAACCGCGGCGACTTGATGGCATACGACGTCCTCTCGAACAACATCTCCAAGGTCCCGCTTCTCAAGGAGCACCAGACCTTCCTCTACCAGAAGATCTCCCTCTCCGCTCTGACAGAGACCGTCTTCCGCCGCCCACCACACGACCGCGCCATGACCTTTTCCGAGATATCGCAGGAGACCAAGGTGCAGCCAAACGAGATTGAGCATTTGATCATGAAGGCACTGAGCTTGGGACTGTTGAAGGGTCAGATTGACCAGGTTGCCGAGATTGCGCGGATCAACTGGGTACAGCCAAAGGTGCTGGACATGAAGCAGATTGAGGGCATGAGGGCAAGGCTGAAGGAGTGGGATGCGAGCGTCAACCAGCTCGGCAACTGGATTGAGGGTGTGGGCAAGGATGTCTGGGCTGCTTGAGTAGTAGTGGTAGACTCGTCTGTGCAGGGACAAAGTTGGTATCACACAGGAGGTGGCAGTCTCCGCTTCCGTCCGAGCGGCATGCACCGGCAGTGAGAAAGAAGACGCCATTGCATACCATGTACCCATAGATAGTGACCGCCGTGGTCTTGATAGACTAGCGACCCACGAAGAAGAGACTCATGACACAACCACACAACTCGACTTATGCACATATTTTCTTCCCAAAGAAATTCTACAATATAATACGAACATACATACAACAACTAACTCTCAATATCCTGATTCCACAACCACCACCACCACACACCCACTTACTCCCACATCCCACTAGCAACCACAACCGCGCCCACCAGCCAAGCTGGAAACCAAACCAACCAAACCACAACCTGAGTCCACAAGCCCCAAACATGCCAGCCAACCGCGCCCTGCACCAAAACCTGAGCCAAACTGACACCCAACAACTTCGTCCCCATCTGCACGACCATACACGGATTAAGCAGAGCTAGCCCCAACATCTGAGCAGCCGTAAGCCCCACATGGCGCGTCCTCCTCACAAAGCTAAGCGGCACACAAACAGACCCCACAATAACACTTAACGAGAAATTGAGGGTAGCGAGCGCGGCCAGGAACATGCCGAGGAGTAGGAGGCTGAAGGATTGGAGCAGGCAGAGCGTGTGCGGGGTTAGGATTGTGGGGAAATTCCAGAAGAGTAGAAAGGAGATGATGAGGGGGAGGAGCGTGGTTAGGTTTGCGGTTGTGATGTAGAGGGCGGGGAGGGCGGGGGCGTGCCAGTTGTTGAAGGTGTAGAGGGGGAGGAGGCCGATTGTGTGGGCGGTGAGGAGTAGGAGGAGGGGGGTTAGGAGTGTGCGTTCGGAGATTTGGGTTGAGGCTGTTGGGTGGATTGATTGGGAGCCGTTTTTTTCGATGAGCGTGGTTGGTCGTGGGGGGGCATCTTTCTTTTCTTTTTTTTCGTCTTCTTCTTCGGCGGTTTTGGCGTCTTTTTGCTTCTCGGCGGGGGTTTTGAAGGCCGGGTTCTTGGGCTGCGTTGATGCTGGGTTGGCGATTGGTTCGGGGGAGCGTCCACTTTTGACCCAGAGCGCCATCGCGGTTATGCTGAAGTTGATGGCGATTAACATCGCGGATGGGAGGTAGGTCCCGATGCTCACGAAGCGCTTATGCTGCAGTAGCAAGTAGAAGAAGAAACTCTGATGCAGGTGCTCGAGGAGGTTATTCAAGCTGCGGAAGAGCGACTCGAGCGTCTTGCCCAACGTGATCTCGTCGTGATAGCCGTTTCCGACGGTGACGAGCGTGATGGCGTCGACGTGGTACGGGATGAACGAGGAGTGTGGTCCGGTGGCGTGGCCAAGACCTTGCGATAGCATGCCTCGTAGCATGGTTTGAAGTCGGTCCTTGTACGTGTCTTTGTGGTCCCACATGCGCTGGATCACGCTTCCGACGCCCATCTGACTCGATGAGATGTGAACGGCCGTGTTGAACAGATCGAGGTTTGGCAGTTGGCCGTTGATACCATCGTACACGACATGTAACTTATCGTACCGGTGTCCCCACGGCCCAGCTGGATAATCGACCGCAACAGCGGCCTGAAGCGCGCCGCTCTTGATCTTCAGACTCTCAACATAGCGCTCGTCGTGTCCGTCGTGGTATGCGTCGACCCATGCCTGCGGCCCGATGGTGCTGTCGCCGGGGATCAGGAATATGATGTCCTTGCTCCAGAGGCTCCAGCGCTTGAAGTACCGGGCCAGTGTGAGAACCAAAGCTACGCCAGAATTGTTGACTTCGTCGGCCATATTCTTCCATGCGCCGATCAGCACAATGGCTTCTGTGGCATCGGCGCGTGGGCCTTGGAGGATGGCGTAGACATTTTCGTTGGCAATGGTGCGGTTCGAGACGGTGTAGTTGTAATGTTGTGTTGCGACTTTGAGATTTTGTTCGTGGAAGATGGCGGAGAGGCGTTCGGAGCGTCTGTTGTCGTCAGTTTCGAATTCTACCACTTTCACACTCGACGTGGTACGGACTCTGCGACCCCCTTGTCAATCAAACCATGGACTTCATGTCGGTATGCGCGGAATACATTGTGCTCGCTTCCCCCAAAGTAGGTATGTACTTGGCCGGGTAGTATGGCGTTTTCCGAAATGTACGTTCTCCGCGAGTACTCGTCCAACGGCAGTACAAGCAGCCATCCTATACCAATGATGACGCAAAGAGCGGACAGATAGGGCGGAAGCCTTAGTATACGTTTATCGTGTCGAAGCGCCAATATCGAGGCTTTGCATGTTAGCTATACCGTCACTTCACACATATAGCCCAACTCACTAAACAGCGCCATCTTGTGCCCTCAATTGCATCCCGTGGAAATGAGAGAGGAAGAAGAAGAAGGGAAGAAAAGTTGTGTCGTGTCCTTCCCTCTGCCTAGCTCCCCACACACTCGTCTTGCCTAGGAAGGTGGGAAGGTGATAAGTCGGCCTCACAGCGGGAGGATCGACACTAGCGCGAACGCGGTCCCTAGGCAGGCACAGGCGCATTCAATCTCCCATCTCACGGTTACAGCCCAACGCGCCTGCATATCTCCTCCCACACCCTTTGCGACGCGCCACCGAAACATGTCGATGGCTTCGCTCCCCCAGTTCAATCCACAGCGCATACGGTCGTATATCCTGCGCCTGCCGTTCTGCACCAAAGCTCTGGTTGCGGCAATACTGGGGCTATGGGTCGCCACGATCCCGTTTCCATGGGTGAGGGAGTATGGGCGCTTGGAGCCAGCTAAGATGGATTTGACGCAGAGTATGTGCTTTTTATAGTTGTTTGAAGAGAAGGATGGATTAGGAAACTTGCGTCATTCCCGCTTTCTGGGCGCATGGGCGTGGGAAGAGCTCAGGGAGCTTACATTGGGGATAGGGAGGCGTGGAAGAGCTGGCCTATTTGTTGTTCTACCAGTCATTCGATCTAGTATGAGCTTACGGCTAATGTATAATGTGTGTAGTGCACCGACTCAATCTGTTCCCTCTGATGCATCTCAACTTCATCCATATGATCTTCAACCTCTTCGCCGTAACACCGCTCCTCGAGCGCTTCGAGTCCGAATTCGGGACACTGGTCACATTGGCATTGTTCACTGGGCGTAAGAATACTCTAGACCGGATATGAGACATGGAATTGACCAGACGGTAGCTTTTGGCACAATACCAGGTGGCGTATACACGCTGTTGGAGAATTTCGTCCTGCGGAGCAACACGGCAGTTATGGGCGCGAGGTATACAACGAAGCTCTACAAGGTGCGGAAGAAGACACTAACATGCGATAGTATATGGGTATTCCTCCTACTCTCAGCAGAAGTCATGAAGACACACAAGACAAACCCCTACTTCAGGTACGCCAAACACCCACAACCCACACCCACCCCTACTGACCACCTCCCAGCGTCGGACCCTACAAAGTCCCAACCTGGACAACACCCCTCGTACTCATCGTCCTAACCAGCATCCTCGTCCCCCACGTCAGCCTAGTAGGCCATCTATGTGGCGCGGGCCTCGGCTACCTCTGGGCAACCGGATACATCAAATTCCTCGTCCCGCCCGAAAAAATCCTGCGCTGGATCGAAACGAAGCTCAACCTGCTCGGCCGGTTACCGCACTACGTGAGCGTGGACCAGAAGACGTATGGGCGCTATGGTGTGCTCCCGACGTCGAGTGTGCCGCTAAACACTAGGAGTCCGGAAGGGGGACAACGACTTGGCCCATAGCTGATATGGAAATCAGGAGCGCTTTGGGAGGAATATATATCTCGCCTTTTGGGCGTTTGTTTGCATTGCTTGCGCATAGGCGTTTTTGGAGGCGTCCGGGAGAAAGAGAGTCGGACTACCTGGCCCATCTTCCTGTACAGATAAGCTAGATTTTTTTTGATGCGATATACGGCATAATCGTAATGCTACCAACTGAATCAGAATCCGTCCACGTCCGAGATTCGGCAAGATCTATGGGGTCCCAGCAGTAACTCCTGAGTGGTTTACCAATTATTGCCATCCTGGCATATTCGAACGAGATTTTCCTTATACGGTAGAATCGAGTAACCTAGATTTTTGTAAGTAATTAGAGCTGAAGTGTCTGCCTACTATGTTGACACACAGTCCTCTCTTCGCCAATCCAAACACGCCTCATCTTCATGCCTTGTCGCTCCATCCCAACTTCCATGTCCAAATATCCACTCAACCACCAACCAACCAATCCGCGTCCACCACCACCATAGCCCCACCCCGCCCCGCCCCGCCCCTGACCCCCCTTCCATTTCCTCCACCCCGCCCCGCATACCCACCACCCATCCTCATAAACCTTTACTCACCAGAACTTCCTCATCGAACCAAAAATTACTGCCAACTCAGACAACCAGTCTGAAATACAAAAAGTCTCGTTGGTGTAGTTGGTTATCACGTGGGTCTCATATGTTAGTGTTTCATGAATATGACTGCTAGTTTTCTAGCGGATATCCCAAGGCCGCCAGTTCGAGTCTGGCACGGGACAGTTATTTTTTTGGGGGGTGTGAGGGAGTTTTTTGGAGGAGAGCAGCACTATCTCCTAGTAGGTTCGCGCGTGCATGTCTTGTTGAAATGACGTTTTTTGGCCGTAGGGAATGAATGGTGTTTTGTAGTGTTTGCGCTATCTGGGTAGGTAGGTAGCGTTACTTATTTATTGTATGCTTGTGGAGCGCTTCCTCACTTCTTCCAAATCGGTGAAAGATCTATCTGGTATTGTATAGCGCGTGTTTTCTCACACCGTGTCTCCTCCCTATCGTCTTCCTTTCCTATCCTTTCCAGCCCTTATCTTTTTTATCTCCATATTCATGTATTCACAAGTGTGCTGTACGTACGCGTTTCGTTCCGCTATTCGAACTTCTACATGCATGCACACGCACACACGGTACTCAAACAGGCGTAGGTACTACCGAAACCGGCAAGTAATAGAAACAAGTGTTGATTGCAGCACTATCAGAGGGGCAAAGGGCCTGAGTGAGGGGCACGTTACGGCGGGGCAATGTTGGAGGGGCACGGGGTACATGGGTCACTTTACTTACTCACTGCCTTGCGATTGACATGACATGACGGGGGTATTTTGGGTGCGCGGATTGCTGGGATGGAAAGATGTGGGGTATGTTGTTGGTTGGGTGTTGTGTAGGGACGGAGACTGCGATTGTGTGTAGGTTTGTATATAGAATTCTGTGGCTGTACCTACCGTGTGATTGCGTAGGTGCTACTAGTTTAGAAGTTCAGCGTTTGGACGCTCCTTGCTCAAGACGGACACCTAGGTAATCTGAGCTTGCGAGGTGCCATCCTCTTGGCCACTCTAGGCACCGTAGTACCTAAAAGATAGGCTAAGCCCAGCAATGCCCCTCATCCATGATCCACCTACAAGTTCGGGGACGGGCAACCCTGTTAACGGCATGGCAACCAAACCCCCCAACGACCTTACGGTCCAAGATATACCGCACCATAACAAGCATTTCTACTACGACGACCTAAGCGTAGCAGACCCAGGAACCATCCGCCTCATCGCCATCCAACCCGGACTCTTCACCGATGCGCTCGTTTGTGGGCTGCACACCAAACCTTCTCTGCTACACCAGCGCCAACATGCTTTTGACGCACTGTCGTATTCATGGAGCGAAGAACCAGGTTGGAAAAGCATAACTCTCAACCAGCACAACGATTTCCGAATCGGCAAAAGTCTCTTCAGCGCACTGCGTCGGCTTCGGCATCGTGAGAACGAACGTTGGGTTTGGTCGGATCAGATCTGTATCAACCAGGCCAATGTGGAGGAAAAGAACACGCAAGTTTCCATGATGGGAGATGTGTACGGCTGTGCGGATTCCGTTTATGTGTGGCTGGGTTCGTGCGGAAATACGAATCGGGCAGCTGGGGAAGAAGAGGTGGAAAGTTGCCATGCCCACGTGCTGCATGACGACGGGACGGTTGACTTTCCTGTGAAAAAGGGGCTGCATGTCGTACAGCTGTGCGAAGCCCGCATAGATGACAAGTCGCAGTGGTGGTGGCGCATGTGGATTGTACAAGAGTTTGCGCTGGCCAAGGCAGTAAGAGTTATGATCGGACCACATACTTTCACGTCCATGGTGGCTGTCGTTGCCGCGTTGGAGAAGTCGTGGATAGATCTGGAACCGGATCACGTCAGTCGAAACATGACCAAGCGTCAATGGCAGGCATTGCCTGATAGAAAAGCGCGCCGCCAGGCTTACCTGAAGCTGTTGTTCCTCCATAATGTTAGGACGCAGCGGATTTGGCTAGGAGCCAACCTCAAATACCTTCTCTTTCACACGGCAGAGCAGTACGCAGGGGTGCCCAAAGACAAGATTTACGGGCTAGTATCGTTGATCGACCGCCAGCAGTCTGGCTTTACTCTCGAGGTGCAGTACCAGAAATCGGACGAGGAGGTGTACACAGACGTGACTGAGTATCTTTTGCGTCGCGAAAACAGTCTGGATGTCCTGTATGAACATTTTCCGCGCATCTCCCTCTTGGGCTCTCGACTTTGGCAAGGGACTGCGGAAAGTCCCATGCCAAATTTCGGATAGCGGGCAGACACCCCCACCGTGGATGGATACAGCGACATGGGCGCAGCAGTCCACGTCCTATGACAAGTTGAAGTGTTGCGCTGGTGGAGGTGTGGTGGCGAACGTGCGTCGAGAGGGTGCACGTCTGCTCGTGCACGGGATACGTTTATGCTCAGTGACCAGTGTGTTGGAATGGAAAACATATTACATCATCGTCAAAGAGAACGATGAAACCAGCACAGTTTGCGTAGAAGACATTCGAGACGGCATCATCAAGACGTATTCTCATCAAGATGAAGAGGTTGATGCATCAGATAGGCTGGGGACAATGATGCTCCGCTGGCTAGAGGATTTCTACCTCCAGAAGAAGAAAGAGCAGTGTCTTCCCACCTATGCCTCCGTCGACCACACGGAACAATTTGCTCGAAGTATTACTGCAGATTCATACCTCTACAAGAGTACCAATACCAACGCTAAGAAGATGGCGGCTACCAACGTCTTTGCACCCTATCTTTCTGGATTCATGGAGCACAAGAAAACATGGGAGTTCCGTTGCGAGGCTTTGATCTCGAGGACGAATAGGGCGTTTTTCACTACCGATGCGGGCTTGTGTGGAGTAGCGGCGAGCACGGCAATCCGCACAGGAGACATTGTCGTGGTGCTTGCTGGGGCGAGCATGCCTCTCATCCTACGACCGACAGCAGAAGTGGATGATGGGGGTGACCTGAGTTATCAGTTGTTAGGGGAATGTTTTATGTCTGGGGTTATGCATGGTGAGCTGATGAAGGGGGAAGGGGGGTTTCCTGGGTTGGACGAGCCATTTTGGCTGGTGTAGTTTGTTCTTCTGTTGGGTTTCTTTCTCTAGTCAGTTCTTTATTGACGTTAATGTTAATGTAGTCTTTCTTTAAAGCTTTCGTTGAGGTATTATCAGCTGCTACACAAGTAAGGACTTGGTCTCTACGTCCTAATATGTTTCTTTCCAGTTAGATTAAATGAAACGCACACAGTCATAGCCTCAGTCCGTTCAGGATCTCCAACACAGTGCGATATCATGCTGTATTGGCCCAAAGATTAGCAGGTGATTAGGCAGTAACAGAGCTACCTACATATAAGAGACGAGCTTGCTCAACTACATATGAGCGAACGCAGATTTCGAAACTACCCAGATCTTCCAGACAATATAAGATCTAGGTAGACGATATACTGTTTCCATGTCTGCCATCGAGAAGGTCGCACGGAATCGGGGCGCTGGTGTCATCCGCCTCATGTATTCGAAGGAAGCGGATGCGACGTTCCACAGGATCCAAATCCTTGTGTAGAACTTGAGAAATTTTCGTACTTGATCTCGGCGTCAGGGCTGGGGTTGTGTCCAGCCGATGATCAGCGCCAAAGGACTCCATCCATAGTGTGGTACCTACAGTTTCTCGCCCGAGGTTCACGACATGCTATCAATCATAACAGAAGATAAGATAGTCTGCGATGACGTCGGTCATAGCTTAAATTCGAAACGGAGGATTTGTTCCATTCGCGGAGTTGCAAGAAGCAAGGAAAAGCCTGGATAGTTCCGACTATCCGTGGGGCGCAGTGCGGGGCGGGGGGCCCGATATTCAAACTGAGTGTATTGATTGGACACGAACTTCTACAATGACGATTATTTCTGACAAGTTACCATAGTACGGAGTAGGTGCTCCTACAGGATGGCTCTTGGCGGCTGACTTGCTGTTTATCATGTTAACGAGGCGAATCGTTCGAGGACTTTAGATGTTTTTTCTCACCATGTTTGTTAGTCCTTGATGAGCAAACCTTTGCAGACCTTTTGCCTACCTAGTCCTTAATAAGCAATGCATCTAATCCAGACGGCCAGCAGAGCAGCGTCTCTATCATTGCTATTGTTTTCGCATCCCATACACGCCCAATACGAACCACCACCCAAGTCCGCACTCCCTGTTCCTAAGCCCCACTACAATCCTATCATATATTTTCCCTTTAACTAACTATTTACCAACAGTACAAACCTAACCCTCCGCTTCTTCCCCCAAAACAGCGCCGCGGACGACACTACATGCAGCTACAGGAACACCACAGACGCCCTAACCTTCACCACGAAAAGCACCCTCCTATCCCAACACTGTTTCGACTTCAAGGGCCTCTTTTCCGGAAACGCGACGCAGGGCTTCGTAGACCAGGGCACGTACTCAGGCCGCGAATACGGAATAAAATGGCACCTTTTCAACGCCGAGAAATTCGACCCCACAGCAAACTACACCGGCGTGCTCTACAGACAACATATCAAAAACGCGGGCAACGAGAAGTCAGAGCCCTACCATTACGTGAACCGGTGGGCGACTATGTACGGCGCGAATGGGTGTCGCGAGGTCGATTCGGATCAACTTGATCCGCTGCCGTGGTTTGCGTTTAATTGTTTGAGTGAAGATGATGGGAATTGCGGGACGCTGCCGTATAGTCTCGATAGTTTTAGGATTTATGCGCCTAGGGAGGACAATCTGGAGGGCACTTGTTGGATGTTTGCGGAGTGGGGGGCTGCTACGAGGCTGGAGTCTTCGCAGGTTTTGATGGGTGTGTTTGTGAGTGCGGTGCTAGCTATCTGGTTAGCGCTGTAAAAGAGTGAAATGGTAGCAAAATACAAATCTGATTTCTTTATGCCTTCTCTGTATCTTTCTCGTTTGTACCGAGTCGAACAAAATGAGTTTATAAAGCTCCCTTCCATGACCAACTCGCGACATCGGGAAGAAGCATTGCAGCCTCCCACTCTTCATAATTTACCTTATCATTGCCTCGTTCTGACAATCGTGTGTTGCTATGAGAAAAAACGCGAACCCGCTTCTTTACCACTTGCTTTGTCGCAACGACACGTTCTATTCGTCAATCACGAACAACAGTTGGTGAAGGTGCCGACACTGATTCCGTGTCTGGCATCCGGGTATCCGTACTCTGAAGG